TTGAAGGGACGAATTTTCATTTCCCGAGACGTATTGCGAACATTTTTCTTCGACGTCACATGGAAACACAAAGCGAGTGTCGAAGAAGCACGTAGTTCGCGGATCGAATCACGCCCGTGCACACTGCAACGGGCGATATCATAGGCAAATATGTACACTTTTCTTTCCTTTATTTCAAAGCCTCACGAGGCGGGATAGCCACTGCGCTACGGATGGGCGACCGAGGAATTGAAGTTCGATTCCCAGCTGGGCAAGAGATTTTCATTTCCATAGCGTCCACACCAAACTCTGAGGCCCACCCAGTCTCCTATTCAATGGGTACAGGAGCTCGTTCCCCGAGAATAAATTTGACCACACATATCTCTCTAGTGCCGCGGTTAAATGTGTGGAACTATGGCTCCACGTCCCTACGCGCTTTCGTGGGGGTGGTGGTTAATTAGGCATCGAGACAAGTTTTGCTGTGCCTGAAAAGTTCGATGTTCTGATGTATAAACGCCGTGCAGACTCCATAAAGGCTATGGACGTTTCGGAGAAACATGTCGCCTCTTTCTTCAGAATTGATGAGAAAACCAAACAAGGGACGAGCATGAAGTATGCAGCAAGTCCATGTCACATGTTCCTCAGAAAACGTCGGTGACTTTCGACGGACTACATAACGTCATACCCCAGAAAACTGCAGTCTGCGCAACCAGCGCTGTGGGGACCACAAACTTTCCTACACCCGATTTGTCATTATGACTGGAGATATTTGGCGCTAGTGCTGCAACACAGTCCTACTTAGTGGCACTGCACGATACGTAACCATTTGCCTGAGGCACCAAAGTTCTACAAAGACATTGTCAAGGAGAATACTAAAACTACGATCTTCTGAGCTTTCTTTTACTTTCGAGAATAAATAACAACGTTTCAGAATAACTTGCTACGTCCATATTCAGGTTGAAGGAATCGATTTTTCTTTCAATTGACCTAATCATTCCAGCCACACTAAGACCCTGTGGGCGACTCAGCCTCTAACAGAAATGAGTACCAGGAATCTTCCTGAGGGTAAAGCCTGACAACTTCACCGCCATCTGTGAGTCAATTCTCTACAAAATGTGGGAGCCTCGACGTCTCATAATCCTTTGGGCCTCCACGGGCTGTTACAGGGATAGCTTTACCTAACATATTGCTTCAACGCATTCTTAGACGCTGAACATGGCCGCTGCACCATCTCCAAAAGCGAAGGTACATATATACCCAACTATACGACGTCACATCCAAGAAGACTGTATCTTTTAAGTTCTAACATACGCTTGTTTGTTTGCGCACTCATAGTCAATTCAGCCTTGGATCTCATTCAGGTGCTGAATTAAAATCAGTTTATTAGTAAGCAAGCTATCCCTGTAACAGGCCGTGGAGGCTCCCACATTTTAGGGACCATCGTCTCACAGATGGCGGTAAGGTTGATTGTCAGCCTTATGCGCCTGTCGGCTGCCCGTTACCCCCAGAAAGAATCCTGGTACTCATTTCTGTTAACGGCTGAGTCGACCCCAGGGCCATAGTGCGGCTGGAAGGATTAGGTCAACTGAAAAATCCAATGACCTCATCTGGAATCGAACCCGTGACCTTCCGGCTTGTAGCATAGTTTACTAAGCTCTTGAAATACTATAACTCAGGTTATGTGTGCCTTACAAAGAGTTAAGCCATACTTTCATCTTCCTGCCTACCTGCTTGAAGCCCCGGTAGATGAGCTGTATCTCCTTGCGAGAGAACTTTGTGGTCTTGGCCAGTTTGGTGAGTTCTTCCGGGCGATGCCGGGCCACGTGAATGTTGAACTCATCCAGCTCCTCCTCTGGAAGAGAACAAACAAAATCTGTATTTTGGGAATCGTTCGTCGAGTTACAAATTGTACAGCAATCCCTCTTCAACCGCAGGGCTTACTCTCTGACATGAATTCCCAGTGAAGATGACAAATACGGGAAACAAACTTCCTTCCTCAGTGACCAGAAAAACAGGGGCACAGATGAAACCACCAACTTAAAGTCAGAGGATGTGATAATGTGCTGCTTGATTAGGACTATTGCATATCTCAGGAGGATTGTGACAGGTGCGTAGGTTCTACGCAGCAATTACTTGGGGAACACGCAAGAAACTTGGGGCAAAAACCTGGTCCAAAGCCGCTTCGCACACCACGAATGTCACGTAAAGTTTCCGGGCCTCGAACCCGAGGCTCCCCGGTGAGAAGCCAGCACCAAATCGCCTGAGTTATTGCATATCCATGTGAATGTGTTTAGTGGTTACCTAGGTGTTACATGCAGACAGATGGACATGTAGAAGCTAACGGGTAGACTCCGAACTCTTTACACAAACACATTCATGTCTCGAATGGGTTTCGAACTTCAAATTTCGATGTTCGGAACCTGTGTTTTGTGTCCATTCTAGAACTGCGCTTTTGAGGTTCTCTCGTGCTGAAATCTTTTCAATGAGCTCACGTACAAGCAATCTGATTGGCCTCCATTTGTACTCTCTATCGCTTCGTCACGTTGGCGCATTCGATGACTTCCCCTGAAAAAGCGGAAAATTTGCCAGTGACCGGAAATTGTTACAGAAAACTGATAAATAAAAGCATGTAAACGGTTTACAGCCTGGATTCTAGATTCACACTTTGTGGGGAATTATAACAAGTTAGGAAACATACGGACAGAAAAATTCGAGAGCTACTGTGCACTTTTAACTACGCACGAAAGTTGCATGGCTCATAGCGTATGTGTAACGGACAAAAAAACGTTTCATTCCTCTGTACAGTTTCCGTTCGAAATCCTTTTCGCTCCGATAGGCATTTAACGAGTTACGTTCGAAATGCTCGCTGGACTTCACGTAAAGTATCCGTTATTGTTGAACTGGAATACCTCAACAATCCAATAAAAACTGTCTCAAATAGGAGATTTCTCGAGAATTTGTTCAGCGATTTTCTAATTGTTACATGAAGACCAGACAGATGTCACGAAACTGATAAGTGACTTTTCGTTGGGAACGCGCCAAGTGTGAGGCAGTTTACACTTAATGGGTGGCGAGGTACACGTCATACTTTCAGAAGCAAGGCTGTGACGTCACTTATACAGAATTCCATTCTCTACAAAACAGTTCATCTGTGTCATCCGATCCCCGTTTGTCTCGCTGTAAACTTGTCACTGAGCGGGTTACCGAACTGATAATGCTCTAGGATTACATTTTGGAGGTGCTCGCTCTACTTTCAGACGCGACACCGGTTATCCTGACTAAAGTTCTTCGTTGTTGTCCTCAGTCCTTCTAGGCAAATTTCAGATTAGTACTCGACTAGGCTACGACAGCTTCGTTTAATGTCCTCTCCAATTCATCCACTGATTATGCTGCTTTCCGGCGCTGTATAACCTAAACGCTGAAGGCACTGTAAAACAACCCACCACCCAAAAGCAAAGATCTCAGTACACAAAGTATCGCAGATATTTCCTCCGTTACGAAACTTCGGTCACTCATTCAGCGAGGACAGACACGTTACGTGAGGTGCGGAGATAGGGAGGGCTGCTGCTCAATTGTTCGCCAGCCCAGACAAGTTCCGGCCGCCAGAGAGAGAAGTTAGCAACAGTTTCCGCTCAGAGAGCGTACATATCTCTCTGCTGTCCAACTGAATTGAATTACAGATTTGACTTGACGCGTAAAATTAACAACATAAAAATGTTTACTCCTCTGAAGTCTGAATATCATCTAAATAATATTTAAAAATTCATGTCACAGAAAACATTTCGTTTCCATCACAAAAACGATGGTAAAGTTAAAAATATGTAAAGTTACATTTGCGATTAATTAATTAATTAATTAAGCACCACGTCACGAATACGTATGGCGCAGCGGAGGTATAGCTGCATCATGACGTAGGCACTAGATGGAGTTGAGTGGTCAGCTTCACGGCCCTGTCGCTTTACACCCGGAGAAAGAGCAGGCGGTACCCATTGGATAGGAGGTTGGGTGGGCCCCAGAGCCCGTCTGGACGCTGTGGAGAAAGATGAATCATGTTGACTGTGACAGTCTTATGAAACATTACACGGTGTGGACAGAATGCGGTGTCTTTTAATACTAAAGTTGGTGGTACTTATAGTAACCACTGCTCTTTAAAGAATTACTCTTCTTTTATTTATCATGAAACGTGCGTTTCGGCTTAAAAAAAGCTTTTCTCCGACTGCCTCAAAATTCGCGTCAACTCTGTACGAAGTACTCCAACGGAGTACGGCGGAAGGCAAATAATGTTTACTTTTCGTTGACTGTAATCAGATAATCGCCATGCCAAAAAAAAATGTTTCAGATCCTAAAGACATGTATATTCTACGTTGCAGATATATCCGTAGGCCTACGAGGGTCAGTTTCCTAATAAAATTAGTAATGAATCCTCATCTCAACTCCATTAAAATTAGAGTTTCATTGGATCCATAGGAACCAAAACTAACTTCCTGCAAAACATAAGCACTCTTCTTAAACTTAAGTTTATCCTTACGTCCGTGACAGCAACACCGCACCGGCGACCTCCTATCGCTAAGAAAACTACAGACATGTTTCCCTCAAACAAACTCCGTGGCCTTTAGTGCGGAAGCGAACTATACCGACCAAGAGACCGTCGCTTGTCGGCGAAGTTAGTGCCAACGTTTGCGGATAGAGGGTGTCGCGTGGTCAGCGCAACGGATCCCCACGGCCTTTAATCTCGTCATTCTAGACCGGGGCCGCTATTTCCTTGAAATACCTCCTCAATTATCCTCATGAGGCTGAGTGGACCCCGTTCCAGACCCACTACTTCTCAGAAAATCTGGTAGCGCCGGGAATCGAACTATGGACCTCTAGATCTGTAGCCAGGAACTCTGACCACTAGACTACATAGCTGTCCATGTTTCCCTTACAAGCGAAAAATCCTGTCCCTAATTCATGATTCACATTCCCATATATACAAAACGATATGCACCCACACACTTGTTGGAAAACCTGAAGAGGACTGCAGGAAGACCTAGGAGCAGACGAGAGAATCAGATAAAAGGATGAGTATCGACTGGAGTTATGTGGTTAGCTCTTGTGAAAACTGTTATGAACATTTTGGTCTCATTAAATGACAGAAATTCTTTCAGTAGCTGAGCAACTATTAGCTTTCCAAGAAGGGTTTAGCTCCATTGAGTTAGTTAATTACATTCCTGACAACGCCGCATGTTCAATAAAGCCAATACCGACCGACCGCATTTTCAAGATACTAAAAATGCCAAAAGTGTGCGGTTAAGGGCTGAGTCACTCAGGTGGGCTTTGGGTCTACTCAGTCCAGTATTCAAAATGCAAAGAGGCTTCGAACCCCACAGAACTGTCAGTATATGTAACAGTACTTCAACAAATTGGATTTAAATTACAGTTAACTGAAACTGTTGTTAATGTATTCAATCAATTTTGTATCAAAATAACAATTTTACGAGTTCAATTTCAGTAAAGCGTCCGATTTCAATTGGATGCTTGTGTCTAGAGACATCCATGACTGATGTAATTAGGAACAAAAACCCAGGGTACAAACAGAAATGTAATATAACACATTGCATTGTTCTCTGCATGCAGGATTCCTATGCGAATCGCTTTTATGTTCTCACGCGGCATCCATTTGCAACTGAGGCAATGTCTTGAATCAGTTATTCGTGTGCGTCGCCGTCACACAGTGACGCAGGTCATAACGTCATTAGAAAGTTACCAGATTGTATTTTCAACGTAGCATAGGAACCAGATCGTCATACCAGGTCTCCTTGAACACAGAACTTTGTAGGATTTGAGGATGAAGAATGCCGTAACGCCTCCATCTTCAGGGTAGAAAAAAATAAAAACTCCGCGAGCGAGGAACCAGCGTGAGTACCTCCGAAACGTCGGTTTATACAATATCTACACGGTGCCGCATCCAAGAAGACGGCATTCTTCACAAAAAGACTTTTCTCAAGAAAGTTTTAGACGTAGAGCAGCAACTGCTCCTCACAAATTGTAGGCCCATTTGGAAGGTGAAACCAACCGTGTCACACCCAGACACGTACTGCCTCCCGCTCGTAGCAACCACTTTATTGCTAATGTGGGACACGGTCCCTTGGGGCTCATTAGAGAGGAAGCCATGAAAGGCTGTTAATTACTATTCCAAATTCTTTTGCGCAACAAGATAAATGCCTGAAGAGCTTGCTGTAGTGGCGCTGCGCTAGACACGTGGCTCCAATATCGTCCGGGACACAGACTATTCCTTGATATCCGTGGTTTTCCTTAATTCCTCCAGGTTATTCCGGTATGTTACCTGGAGTAGACCACGACCATTTCCTTCCAAGTCCTTTAGAATCCATCATTAACCAATCAACATTTAATTCAACGATACATAATCCGGACAACTTCGTGAAATGTACCAGAAGAAAAGAAGCACCTCTTCAATCCCTCTCCATGGAGATAATTCTGGAAATAGTTTACTTATTTTTTGGACGCCCCTTAGATTTGTTGTGTAACACTTACAGCACAGTGGTAACAACATATACTTAGTTAGTTAGTTATTGGAGAGGGTGGGTTTCCCCATGCACTTAGACCAGTATTGGTCCATTGTGCTTCCCTCTACGATATTCTACCAGTCTCTATACCCTACCGATAATGGTGCGTACCATCAGTCCCGCCGAGCAAGCGAGTTCGGCCTCTACTGGCTTGGCGGTATCTATAATGCTTCCCCCATCTATCAGAGGCCTTAGAGACTATTGTTGGGCGGGAAACGTCCTGGAATTTGGCTCGGTGATCTCCTTTGGAGATATGAGGTTCTTTTACGTGCCGTAAAGTTACGAC